GTGTGTGTGTGTGTGTGTGTGTTTTAGCTTATCTTGTCTTCAGTGAAAGAGTTGGTTTGAATTATCTGATGTATCCTTTCCAGAAGCAAAGTCCTTTATAGGACTTCTCACTAGCAGTAATGGAAGTTCAATTTAAAAAATATATATATAATTGCATATCTGGCAAAACTATCTTTCAAAAATGAAAGTTACCTGTGATATGATAGCAGTCAAAATTAATGTACATGGAGAAATCTTGACAACATAACATGAGTAAAAACATAAGTCATAAAATCGTACACACAGTGCAATTCCATTTATGCAAATAAATACATACATGCATATGTAATAAAAGTATAAAATATGTGTGGGGTTATACACATCAACTTTAGGCTAATGGTACCTCTGGAAAGTAGATGTGGGAAAAGAAGTTAAACAAAGCTTTAGCTATTATATTTATAAATATCTGCAAATTTTATTTCTTAAGAAAAGTATATTACATCTGGGTGGTGGATCCATAGATATCAGTTCTAATATTTTTTTCATTTTCATTTTTGAAATATTTCATTGAAAATACAGTTTTTTAATAAACAAATAAAGCCTTGCAGCATATCAGTTAGCAACCAAATGAACTCAGCACATGACATAGTATACTTACATTCAATTTTAAGGTTTAAGGGAATATTTTTAAAACCATGACTCACGAGTCTGGCAATCTCTGGGTTGCTCAGTTGAAGGCCCCAGATGCAGATCTCTTTCCCGAGCCTGTAACACTCATCTCGAATTGTCATAAGCAAAGGTTCCAAGGAAACTGGCAGGGTGGTTGGTAGGGAGTCATCAGGTCTTACAAACGTAAACTGGAGTGTAAGAAAAAAATGACATCATATTGGATATCGTAAAGAGAAGTCCATGCATCTGAATAGGTGGAAAAGGAATGTTGTCATTAGACAACCTTAGAAGAACATTTAAAATAATTATTGACATCTGATCTGGTGTGCATTGGGGCGGTAATTCAACACAAACTTATGAAGTTCCTGCCATGTGCAAAGCTCCATGAAAAGTCCTACAGGGCACAGACTTTTCCAGCAGGTAAACTGGGTCAGAAAATCAATTTAGTGGGTTGCCACCAGCTTTTTCTTTTTTCTTCTTTAATGAGATAGTAAAGAAGGGAAATTATCTGAGTGTATCTCATGAAGTAAGGATAATAATGATTGTCTCATGAGACTTTTATTTTAGTGACATTCAAAATCAAAATGGAGAATCCACCTAAGCAACCGGCCCACCATAAACAGCCCTTATGGTTGCATTGATGCGCTGGTACTTCATATGGGGTCAGGATGTTAATTGTATTTCTAATGGTGATTGTAATTTTTTTAAAAGTTTGGAAAACATTGCTGAAGGGACTAATGTGAACAAGATTTATGATTAACCCTTATGATTAAATAGTGGGGGTAATTATAAGAACTGCAGTAGAAAACAGTTAATTAGTAACTTTTTTACTATAAAAGTCTGGCTCTGAGAAGATCGTCTATTGGGATGAGCAAGGAGACTTGTGGGGGACCCTAGAGAAGGAACTGGGAAGAAGGGGTTAGAGAGAACTGGGAGGGCGGGTGCAGCAGGGCAGAGTGGGGTAGGAGAGAGGCTCAGGGGAAGGAGAGGGGCAGGAAGTTGAGCGGAAAGAGGGAAGATGAGAGAGGAACTTCGGGAGGTTCTTTTGGTGAGAGGTGCAATGTAATCTTCCCACTTCCAAAATACATTCAGGAAAAATACGGTAAGATGGATTTGGGCCGAAGTCACCTTAGAATAATGATCTCTCTTTTTTTAAAGCACCCATGTCTATGTAATAATTTCATTTAGTTTGGTGCCTTGTTTCAGCACTCAGCATTTTAGGAAATCAGTAGGTATTTGATCATACCTTCTGGGCTGGGGTAGAAAAGTTGTGAGGCTGGCCTGTCTGTCTTTGGGGTGCTAGGCTCTCCCTTCTGGTCTCTCAGGTGCCCCCTTTTCGAAAGTTGCCCATTCCGTTTCAGTGCTGACCTCTCCTCTTGTTTTTTCCCCTCACACCCAAGCCCTGGATTTACTCTTAGAAAGAAATGACATCAGACTTTTTTCTGAAACCTAGTACTTTTGGAGTCAGAGTTCTGCCTGTGCTGACCTCACTCCAAGTGAGCCAGGCCTCACGATGGCAGGCATGGACAAGGGCAGGTCTGGCTTGATGACGGGGACACACCCATGGTCGAGGGAGGGAAACAGTCACTTGGAGGGGTCAGGAGAGTGGCAGGAGTACTGGGAGGGGAGGTCCTGCAGTGACGCCCAAAGAGGTGACCTTCGAGCTGGGCCTTCCAGATGTGGTGCAGAAGGGGAGCCGGGGGGCCATGGGGGGGTCTTTTCCAGCGAAGTGGTGTGAGAATAGGCAAGTGGGCTGGAAGGGGTGGGAGGGACAGCTGGGGGGAGGAGTGGGAAGGTCGGAGAAGTGTGAGCAGGCCTGGGTGGCTTTGGACTCCACTTGGTCAGGAATGCAGAGAGGGTGACACAGCCAGCTTTGGGCTTAAGGGGACTGAGGGACCATGCTTCTTGGGAGTAAACCCTGGTCAGTTCATTTCAGAGAAGAATAAGGAAACTAGACTATACACTCACCTTCGTGAGAACCCGCTCACTGTCAATGCTGCTTTTCAGGTCCCTTTTGATGGCTGGACACATGGATGTCTGAGACTGCGCACAATGCTTCTCGTACGTTTTCAGGAAGTTTTGAAGAATTGGAACAATGGGCAGGGGTGCCCCTTTAATTTTTCGTTTTCCTTCCTTTACTCTTGGCATTGTTTTATAGTGTTAGATTTCATTTAGATTCTGAAATCAGTAACTTGCCCTGAAACCCAACACACAGATGTCATTTTAAGGAGCAGAACACACCTCCCCAACTAAAAATGGACAAATATTTTTGCATACCCTTCTCTGAACACCTAAAGGCTTCATTTATCTTAAAATGGGACTAGGGAGTCAAGATAGAGACAGTTGAAAGGAATTGTCAGTTTCCATTTCCATGAGACCATGTTCTTTCTTTTAGATTCTTTAAAATGGGGATAGTATCCATGAAACTCAGTTACAAAGGAATGCAATTAACATTAATACTGGGTACTAAATATTATCAAGAACATACTGATTTAAAAACAGCATAATTCTCTTCATAGACACAATTCTTGCCAGGCAGTATATCATAGTGGTTAAGAATGAGGACTTTGGAGGTGAGCAGGTCTGGATTTTAGTCTTGTCGCCACCATTTGACTCACTGGCTGGTCTTAGGTAAATTATGAAGCCTCTTCAAACCTCCATTTCCCCATCTGTAAAATGGATTATGGTTGTTATAAGAATTGAGTGAGATAAGTTTATAAAGCACTTAGCACAACGCCTGGAACAGAGTGGAAGTGCTCGATAAACTGGATTATTACTATTGATGTTGTTGTTATTATTCTGCTGGGCACAAGAAGCCACCCAATCAGGACTGATTTTTTCCTTTGAATTATCCAGTCCAGAAAGGTCCCTCCATGTGATGACTTAAGGGAACGATGGGGTCTCCGACCTGGATTCACAGAGACAAAGGTTTATGGGAGTTTTGGGGTTTTCCCACATAGGAAAGTTTCCAGCTAGAGACTGTCCAAAAATGTGTTGTCTTACATCTAAAGGGGCTTTTCTTGTTGAATCCAGGCCTGGTGGAGCATCCCAAAGATACTGGGAAGAGACAGGGCTGTCAAGAAAACCAAACATCAGAGGAACCTGGCTTTTCTACCTGCCCGACTGCAGCAACCTCCTTGCCCCACTTAGGTCTGTTTCCCTCCCAGTAACCAGAGTGACGTTTTTGAAATATAAATCAGATTGTGTGACTCTTCTGCTTAAACCTCTCCAGTGATTTCCCATTACATTTATCTTCGCTAAAGTTTTTATATGTTCATTCTATCAGTTATTGAGAGAGGTATATGGATGTGAATGACTACTTCTGATATTGATTCTGCCAATTTTTGTTTTTTGTATTTTGAAGCTGTGTTATTAGGTGCCTATAAATTTGGAACTGATAAATCTTCCTGGGAGGTCTACCCTTTGGTTTTTATTTATTACCTCTCTTTATCTCTAGTAATGATTTATGCCTTAGAACCATGATTCCCAAACTGTACACTGTACACTGAGGGGCACTGCCACAAATTTACAGGGCACTATGGGATATTTTAAATTTTCAAGAGAAAGCCAGAAACATCTGTTAGATGCCATGTGACGTATTCGCTGGAGGTCGTTCACAATTTCAAATTAGACACTTGTATTAGTAGAGACAGTCAGGTACTGTAGTAAGGGACGATCACAGTATTGTAGCTCTGACTGGGACTTTACAGACTGTCTAATCTAAGACTTTGAGTTCTAAACTTGAAAAGTACTGGGCAAACCAGGATGACTGTTCACCCTGCCACTCTCCCACTCATGGTCTTCATCAGATGTCGCCTCTGAATTCTACTCAAGGCTATGCTCCAGGCAGCTGCAGCAGAGCAACCAGACTTGGCAGCTACCTGGGGCCTGTTGGCCGTCTTGGGCCTGGTAAAACTTTCATTTCACGTGTGACAGGAGGGAGGCCCAGGTAGGGAAAGATGGGGCTTGCTCCAGCTGAGAACAGAACGGGGCCTCCTGGCTCCCAAGATTGTTTCAGGCACAAAGAAGAGAGCCACAAGAGCACACAGCCACGTGGTTCGCCCTCCATCCCCCTGACCCATAAGCCAAGAGGAGAGGCCTCAGCATGGAACCCACCTTGCTGGCACCTTGACTTCAGACTTCCAGCCTCTGGAACTGGGGGAAATACATTTCTGTTCTTTAAACCACCCAGTCTGTGGTATTTTGTTATGGCTGCCCAGCTGACTAAGACAGTATACAGCAGCAGTCCCCAACCTTTTTGGTACCAGGGACTGTTTTCATGGAAGACAATTTTTCCACAGATGGTGGGGGGCGGGTTGGGACGATTGAAGCGCATTACATTAATCGTGCAGTCAAACCTGTCTGCTAATGACAGTCTGTATTTGCAGCCGCTCGCTAGCGATACCGCCTCAGCTCATCCGGCATTAGATTCTCCTGGGGTGCACGCAGGGGTTCGCGCTGCTGTGAGAATCTGAGGCCGCTGCCGCTCAGACAGGAGGCGGAGCTTACGCAGGGACGGGAACTGCGGGGAGCGGCTGTAAACACAGTGAAGCTTCGCTTGCTCCCCTGCAGCTCACCTCCTGTGTGCCGCCTGGTTCCTAACAGGCCAGAGACTGGTGCCAGTCCCCGCCTGGGACACGGGGACCGCAGGTATACAGTATTCCTGTTTACAAGATGGGGTATTGCTCACCAGCCTTTTCTGAGTATTTGCAGATGCACAAACTACACCCTCATAGAATCTGTAAATGCTCTATTACGACACTTTTGAATCTTGAGTTTTTCATTTAATATTTTATGGCAAGCATTTCTTTATGCCATTTCTGTATTAGTAAATGTGGCCCACGTTAGCAAATATCTAGGCTCTTCAAAGCCAGCATCGATTAATTAAATCATTAATGAAAATTTACTGAAGGTCTAAGGCATAGGTGCCCCACCCTGTGCTAAGTTTTACTCATCTGAAGGGGGCTCTCCCTCCCCAGCTTCTTGAAGATGGGACAGTGGCGGCTGAAGGGGAGAGAGAAGGGGCCGGCCGTGCTGAGTTTCTTGCACGCTCAGGTGGGACCGCTGCCGGCTCCACCTCAGAGTCTCAGGGGACAAGAGGGCGAGCAAGGAGCGCTGCTTCCGCTGCCTTCTCCACGGCTCCGGACTCATGCAGCCGTTTCCATACACTCCCTAGAGAACACTCGCTGCCCGCCCCCTGGGGAAAGCCGAGCTGCGTTGCACCGGCTCTGCTGCGCTGGGACGTCCGGGTGGGGTGTGTGCCTCGGCAGGGAAGGGGCGCGCGCTAGCACGCCCAGCCCGGCTGGGTCTGGAGCATTTAACCCCGGGCCCGCAGTCCCGGCTGCCGGAGCAACCTCGTCCCGCGCGCTCCCCGCCCGCGCGGCGCCCGCACTCACTCGCGCTCCGCTCCCTGCGTCCCTCGCCCGGCCGGCTTCCCGCGTCGCGTCCGCGCCATGGAGACGGCGGCGAGGGGCGGAGGGTGCAGGGACGGTGGCGGCCGCGGGCCAGGGCACGGGAGGGAGAGGAGCGGGGGCCGAGGCGGCGGCGGAAACACCGCTCCAGGGCTCGGACTTGGGGAAAATGAGAAATCCTGGTGTCCTCGCTGCGGGTGAAGCTTGCCCCGCCAAGGTCAGGTGTGGGGCCCAGATGTCAGGTCCGTGTTCCTTGGTTCTTGGTTCCCAGTACCGAAGACCGCTTACTGGTACCGAGTCGAGGGAGCAAATGAGCAGACCAAGCAGATGCAAGCAAGCGAAGCGCCAAAGTTTATTAAAGCAGAGTTCGCTCCAGAGAGGGAACGGTAAAACCCCGGCAAGTGGAAGAGACCCTGAGTTTAACAAGATTTTCCCTTTTATGCTGATTCCCTAATTATATATTAAGTGGGGAGTGGAATATTCATGATTTTTCTTGGAAAAAGGTGGAGAATTCCTGGAACTGGGAACCTTCCTTATTTTTAACCTTGTAAGGCAGTTTCCGGGGGTTGCCATGGTATTTGTAAACTGTCATGGGGCTGTTAGGTGAGATTTTTACTATGTTAATGAGGTTAGGTCACTTGAGGATACTGTCACCTTACTGGTACGCACTCAGGCTCCAGAGACCCTCATTTGTGACGTTGGCCATATCTCCACTTTGTGGCCTTTCTTCCTCCTTCTGGTTGGTCAGTCCTTGGAGAGCCCTTATCATAGACCAAATATCTGGTCAGTCCTTGGGGACCCCTCGACGCATCACCTGTTCCTTCTTGGAAGCCCCCCTCTGGGCAATTTGTTCCTCCTGTAGACAAAGCGTCTCCTAACGTCATCTATTTCTCAATAGAACTCCCCCAAAAACACACACACGAAGCATCTGTTCCCCTTCCTCCTTGTCCCAACCTAACACCAATGGCACTTAGAGGGGACGAGGTTTGGCAGGGGACAGAAGTTGGGAAAGGAGGACCCGTGTCCCTGTTCATCAGTGGGGCATCGGGGAACAGAGGCCCCCAAAGCGGAGTTGCCCAGCCTGTTCCCGTGGCGCCCTAGGACCAGCCCCAGCCCCTACCCGATTTCTCCCAGAACCCTGGTTACAAACCTGTCCCTGCCCTGCTGCTCCTGCCCGCTAGAAGGGTTTCATTTTGTGGCTATCGTTTTCCTCTCCAATCCCAGGAGGAAGAGGCGTCAGGATAAAGGGAGAGGTTCAGGGGCTGGGCCTGAGAAGGAATTTTTCTGGGGAATATTGAGGAGAAAGGTACAAAACAGCTGAAGCTTTCGGAGAAGTGGATGGGAGAGGAAAATGGATTTTAAGAAACCTTCCTGTGGGCAGTCGCTATAGGGCGTGTAAAGTAAGGATTAGGAGGATGTAGTGGGCAGAGTAAAGACCCCCAAATATTCATGCCCTAAACCTGGAAACGTGAATATGTGACCTTACAGGCAAAAGCGACTTTGCAGATGATTAAAGTTACAGACCTGGGAGAGAGGAGCAGTCTACTCACAAGAGTCTGAGAACACGAAGCTGAGAACCTTCCAGCCTGTGGTCAGGCAGAGATGAGAGATGAGAAGAAAGGCCTGAGAGATGCAGTGAGGAGGAGTATACATGCTCCTGCAGGCTTTAAAGATGGAGGAAGGGGGACTCGGGCCAAAGAATGTCGGCAGCTTCTAGAAGATGGAAAAAGTGTAAAA